TGCCTCAGTTTCCCATATATAGAATGGGATACTAGTGTCTACCTCACAGATTGTTTAAATGAATTAAATCTATGTAAACATTTTGGAATTGTTCTGAAACATGAGCAGTTATTAAGTACCAGGTAATAATAACTATTATTATTACTATTGGGCAGAAACCCTTTAGTCTCTGGCTTTAGGAAAACCTGTTCTCATCCCTTCTTGGTCAGAGCCCTTCTTTGCCTTTAAATTGATTTTTCTTTTTTCTTTTTTTTTGAGACAGAGCTTTTTTCAGCCACTGAAGCTAGAGAGCAGTAGTTTACTGCAACCCTACACTCCTGGGCTTAAGTGACCCTCCTGCCTTAGCCTCCCCATAGCTACTGTGCCACTAGGCCCAGCTAATTATTCTATTTTTTGTAGAGATCGGGTCTCACTCTTGCTCAGGCTTTTCTCAAACTCCTGACCTCAAGTGATCCTCTCACCTTGACCTCCCAGAGTGCTAGGGTTGCAGGCATGAACCACTGCGCATGAGCCACCATGCCTGGCCTTAAACTGATATTCAATGGCGTCTTACAGTACCTCTGAGCTCAGATATTTGCTGAGTGAATGAGCAATTGAACAAATGAATGAGGTTTTCACACTAGCATAAAGAAGGCACTGGGATGAGATTTTTCTCCTCTTCAAAGCCTAGATGACAAAATTGGGGTCCTTGGGGGTGGGGATGAGGATTATCCAAGGTCACACAGTAAATCCCCATTAGCGGAGGGTATAAGAGCACCCCTCCCTTCACTCCTTCCCCTCCCTCATTTTCCACTTTACAATACCGCTTCCTCTTTTCAGAGTGGCAAGTATGTTGTCAAAGACGAGTTGCTCAATTGCTTACAGGAACAAGAAATCCCCCACCCCCTAGCACCAGCCTCTCCTCCAGGCTGGCCCTGTCTTAGACCGAGGCTGTGATGGGAGGAGCCAGGGCGGGGAGAGTACTCGACCTACTCACTCCCTCCCTTGGTCTGTGCAGAGGCAGCCCCTACTCCACCCCTGCCTGCCTAGAGGCAAGTCCCTGCCCCTTTGGGCCCCAGGTTCCCCTCTGTATGTAAAGGGAGGATGACATCTGTGGTTTTCACAATGGCTTCAAAGCAGGGAAACCCTTCAATAAAATTAACAGACAAAAATGGAACCTCTGGGGCTGACCTGGCCCACACAGCCTTTCCCTGCAACCCCAAAGGCCCCAATTGGTAGAAAATCCCTGTGCTGGGTGGTCCCTAAAGGCCTTTCTGCTCTAATGGCATCTGGTGCTAGCAGATGTGGGCTGAGGGACACTGGCATTCTTGGAGATGAGGAAAGAGTGTTTGGAGGTCCCCATGGGCCAGAGCCCAGACTGGGGAGGGGAATGGGCGTAGGGGCAAATGCTCAGTGTGGTGGAGAAGACACTACAGGACTGAGAATTCAGAGAGCTGGGTTCAAATCAGCTTACTTACTGATTACTTGTTTACTTACTGGTCAATTTGTGAGCTTGGACAAGGTACTCAACTCCTATAAATGTATAACATGAGTTGATGATAATGGCTTTGCAGCACTGTTACAAGGGTTAGTGATAACTAGCTCCGTGATAGGTGTTTCCATAGAAAATACCTAGCTTCATGCCTGGTGTGCAGTAAGAGTTTAATAATTGGTAATCACTAGTGCTAGGGAGAAGAGGCTTCCACTGAGTCCAAGGCCATTGCTTTTCTCTGCAACACCACACCTTCTACACACTGCAGCCCAGAAGAGAGGCCAGGGCTGGGAGCAGAACCTGGCAGTCTCCAAATTCAAAGCCAAGGATTTCCTGGAATTTAAGCTGTGTCAGTTGTGTGTGATAATTTTATAATAATGCCCATCACCCCCATAGGCTCTGGGGCACATCTGAGGTTAAAGGTGAAAAAGAGACTGGCTCCCATGCAGTGAAAAGGAAAGTGAAGCCCACAAGAGGCAGTGACTGATTCCTTATGGCAGTCATTATAGAGCCCCTGTGTGGATACACATCTATGAGTGCTACCTGCCCTGCGGACTCAAGACAGCAGCCCCTTGGCTGGTGACCAGGAAGTTCAAATTGGTCCCCTTGGGCACTGGGTCACTCAGAAAAGTCAGCTGACCCTAGGGACCCATAGCAGAGCCAGATACTAGAGACTCTCAATCTTATGGAGGGAGACAAATAAAGTACATGTTGCTGTGAAGGAGAAAGGCCAGGGTTGGATTTTGGAAGGTGCCTGGGTATGTATGTCAGGGTAGGGGGATAGGGGTGGCACCTCCTCAAACAGCTCTAACCTGCCTTCTGCCACTGGCACTTTCCTCCTTTTTGAGTGAGAAGTTGTCCTCCTCTGAAACCTGCTCAACCCTGTATCTCTAGGCGTGGAGACATCACCACCATCTTGTATTCCTCTGACCTCTACTTCACAATAAGTTGTCACCAAGTTTGCTCAAGGCCACTGTCTTAACAAATCCATGCCCTCCTCTTCTCCAGCCCTATCCCTGCCCTAGTTGCCTATGTCACCTCTTGTCTGTGTAACTGCAGTGGTCTCCCCTTCCTATACCTCCACCCTGGCACAGCTCTGGTCCTGCCATTTTTGGATAGGTGCCTTTCAATGGCACCCAGGGTCCCATAAAACAAAGTCCAAATTCCTAACCTCTCTGGAATTTAACCACCTCCTTCAGGGGGCTCCTGTGCAATGGAGATCTTTCCCCAACTTAGGCTCCCACTACCTGTCACCTGCATTTATTTGTCTGGTGGCTTGGATCACTTCCCACACCTTACTGGAACCATGTGGTACCTGTCCATCTTTTTACTCAGCTTCATCTATTCATTTCACAATCCCCATGAACCTTCCTGGGACAGGGGCCATGTACTTCATTGTACTGTGTCCACAGCTGGGCACAGAGCTGACAGATAGTGGAATGTGAGGATGAACGGATAGGAGAGTAGTTACACAGCTGAATATTAATAATTCTGCCAAACTATATCTCAGGGAGAAGCCAGAAACAACTGATTAAGATGTAGTTTAATGTTAGGGTATATGGCATACCTCCTGGGTGTGGGACAGAATTACAATAGAGACCTTACCTAACAAATGCAAACATTGTAAACTAAATCATTTGTATACTCATATTAATCTGAAACAAAAAGAAAAAGATGCAGCTTAAGATAGTTTATGGGTTTCTCCTAAATCTATAGAGGAAAGAGTTGATTTCTCAAGTGAATAT